ATGAGACAACCCCTGCCGCAGTAGCCACGGCGTGAAGTTGTCGTCCGAGATATTGGGGGAAGAGGGGGAGGTCCTGGCGACCGGCAAACCTTGGACCCGCGGATCGACGACCGTGTGTGCCGCCGTTCTCCACGCTCGCTCAAGCTGCCAAAACCTTATCATGACTAAAAGTAAACAAGCGCGCTGGAATTTGCTCGGTTTAGATTCAAACAGGCAACAGGTGGTCGATGACGGGCAGGTGTTGGAGGAATTTGATTGGTGGCGGCGACATTTTTCCCAGCGTCCGTCATGAAGCATTCTGGGAGGAATGGCTGCGCCGTCTATTGCCGTGCTCGAGTCTAAGAGGCGGCCTTGATTTATTATTATTTTTCATCGCGGGCTACTGCAGACATGAAGGCGAGAGGCTTTGCTGATGATTCCTGAGATGAAACCGGCATACAGTTGTTATATTGTCCTGCTGCTGTCTAAAAATAATAATGACAATTTTGACTCTTGTTTCAGTTGGTGGCCTAAAAGCGAGGCTGCGCGCGATACACACGCGCAAGTATGGGCGATGTCACGTGACATGCAAGGCATGATGGGAGGACCAATCCTATGGTCACAATCGTACCATTGGCTGTTTAGAAGTCGCCCTGTGTGTGTATGAATACTCTTAAAAGTGGGTGAGGGTTGTTATTGTTCTGAGAAATGTGATTTTTTTATGGCCTTTTCTACAATAACCTGTATTGTTATCATCAACCACTGTCTACTGCTGGCTAAAGTCCACCCCATGCCGTCAGAAATCCATCTCACTCCTCTGCGAGAGTCCTCTTCTTGGGTGCAAACTTTCCTTTGTGGGTCATACCACGTTGCTGTCCATTGGCTATTATCCCTTCTCGTGATGTATCCTGCCCAGGCCCGCTTACTCTCATGAACAGTCGATATGAAATCTTTGATTTGCATTTGTTCTGTGATCCATGTGTTCCTATTTCTGTCGCTTTGAGCGTAAATTCCAAGTATGCATCTCCCGATGCACCATTCGTGCACTTTTGAGCCGTCCCATTTTCTTTGCTTTTTTTTTTACTAAAATGGAATTATTACGATACACGGCTGTAATTATGATTTACATACTTTTTATTAACCATACAATTGTCGGTTTACTCGTCATGCATTTCTTAAATATTCGCAGTAGAGAGGAGCAAAAATTACGAGAAAAAAAATAGACGTTTATTCATGTGGAACCTCAAAAAATAAAAATCTGAAAAGCATGTGGATATGACACGTGGCACGTGTGTGATTTCGCTGTGTGTTGTGAGTCAGTCCCCACTCTTTTAAGTCTTATATTCTGCCGTGTCCTCGTCTGAATACGACAGTAACACCGGTTTCAAATTCCACAGTTTGTCAACGCACCTCGCATCTCAAGATGCTTTTACAAAAATTAAGCAAAAAAAAATCACATTCGCTAGAGAAGGGGGCAATGGGGATGGTGGGGGGGGTGGAGACAGGGCAGGGTAACGCGGGGACCGAGGAGAGGGAGCGACGCTGCAGCACAGCCCAAGATGAAGCAACCAGGGCCCGTCGTCAACAGCGACGACGATGCTGATGACGAGCTTCGGGGGCAGCCGTGGCAGTCGGGGCAGCACCAGTGAGTCAGTGGGCAGTGTACATGGACCAATCTTCATCGCGGAACGCTATTCCTCCAAACCATCCCTTAGCCTGACTCCGAGGTACAAACTTCTCCGCCGAACACGGATGACGGTCAAAATAACGCGTGGACTGCGTAACCAGCTGAGAGTTCATTGAGACAAGTCGCTGTTGGGAGGCAGACCGGCTGCGTGAGTGAGGGTGAGCAAGTGCACGTGGGCACGCACCCATGGGTGGGTGCGGCTGCATATCTGCGTGTGTGTTCGTGCTGGTGTCCGTTACTATACAAGTCTTGCCCTGCATTCTGTGTGTACGTCTGTGTTTTGTGCGCGCACTGTGCATTGCAGCGAGTGGTGGGAGAGTGCTTCGCGCGCTGCGTTACAATTATGATGACCCGGGTTAAATTCCTGATAAAGGTGGCTGCCGAGTGTTGTGTGTGTGTGTGTATGCTACACTTCCATAATACAGGTTTTTTTTGGGTTAGATTCCGTAAATATAAATGTGTTGTGAAACCCACCACCACCCGACACAGCCAGTTATTAAGATTTCTCACGTAAACAAAACATGCCAATTTGTAACTAGTACAGCACACCAGTGTGTTGGAGAGCAAATCCACAACATTTACAATCTGAGTACTCAGATTTGGCATGTTCTGTTTACGTGACAAACCGTACTAATTGGCTGTGTCGGGTGGTGGCGGGTTTCACAACACATTTATATTTACGGAATCTAACCCAAAAAAAAAAAAAATCTGTATTGTGGATGATATTGGTCGCGAAAGCCGACGAGTTAAATTACGTCCAACTTCCTTCGCACCATACATAGCCAACCGGCCATGGTGCTGGCCATGCTTGTGTGTACCCTGCCACCATCAGTAATGACCGCACTTGCCCACAGCACTCATGCCAACATCGCAACCAGATATGGGAACATTTGCATTCTCGTCAGAGTGCGTGCACACTGGCATTTGCTGCGCCGCGCGTTTGTGGGAGCGACTCCGCAATTCCGCGGGAGAGGCATTTCAAGAACAATCTGTTCACACTTAACGCGGTAATAAAATGGGCGCTTCTATGCGCGTCGCACCAGGCAGCTGCGTGAGAACGTTTAGGAGCTATCAAAGCCCAAACAAACCATTCTGTTAAATCGTGTGATAATAAAGCCTCATGTTTCTCGCTGCAATTTTCATTGCTGTAAAATTGACCCCTTACCAATCCTTCAGGGCGCCATTCCCAGCCTTGCCAAAATGGTATTCCCCAATACTTTACCTTGGAAGGGGATTTAGCATGTAACACACTCTTACCCCTTTTTCCCACCCCCCACATCTTATTGCCAAAGCTTACAGATGTCATTTGTACACACGTAGCCATACGTACACGAATGGCACCTCGGGTTGGGATTATACGTAGCAACCTTCGGCCGCAACTTGCGAAGGCTTGGCGGGACACTCCTGAAAGAAAGTTCACGAGACTTGCTGAGGCTTCTATCCCTCCGGCGAAAGAAGAGTGCACAAGTGTTGTCATCACATCCACGCCTCTATTTAAGGAACGAAACAGGTGGACCTCTCCACAAATCTGGCTGTCGCCTGATGAAGCTAGTTGTAATTACTGGCGAAACGTCGTACTCAGATTGTAAATGTTGTGGCTTGGCTCTCCAACACCGGTGACGAATTGGCACGTTCTGTTTACGTGACAACCCTTACTAATTGTCCGTGTCGGGTGGTGACGGGTTTAACGACACGTTTATATATTTACGCGATCTAACCCAAAAAAAACCTGTACTATGGATGATTTTGGTCACGAAAGCCTACCACGTGTTAAAATTCTGTAATACTGCTTCTCGTGTCTTTATGAGCAGTGTGATGTGGTCAGAGCGCCCTCTGCGGTAACAATCCGCCCATTGCGTGGGCTTTGTGTGCCGTGCAGCAGACGGGTGGGGGGGTGTTGGGTTCGTGCGAGACTTGAACGTTGTTGTGCTCTGTCCCACGCGCCGGTGGCTGCGAACGTAACCCCATTTCCACACCCCCCCGCCATTTAGATCCAAGTTAGCCGAACAGTGACAAAAAATGCCCCGCGGAATGTTCGCATCCCTTGCGCATTTTTTGGGTTGTCCGTTTCATGTTTTGTGTGCGCCGACGCCGCCTGCATGGGATGTGACCTTTGCTGCCAACCATTAAAGCGACGTTTTTAACGATAATAGTTTTAAAAAATATAACTATTGTTCCCGCCGTGTCGGTGGTTGTCTGGACGTTGCATCGAGAAGCATGTTTGTGTTCGCTAACGCAGTGTCAGCATTTACGAACTCCGGGGTGGGTGTACGCATTGTAATGCATTATACAGAGGGTGGTCCAAATTCTTTTTTACATTTATATGGGACTATCGTTTTTAATGAAAAATAACGGTTAATACATTGTAACATGATAACAAATGTATGTTAATCGCTTCAAAAAGTCAGAGTCTCTCGCTTGTTCGCCATCATTGTCAACGCGTGGCTGGAATCTTCTCCAGGTGGTCTCCAGAGTCCGGAGGCACATGTCACGTGGTATTGTTGCAAATTCTCAGAAGTGTTAACATGTTTTTGAAGCACCCTGCATTATCAATGCCATTCTGCGTTTGGCTGCTCTTTGGCGGAGAGCTTTTGCAGGGTGCTTAGCACACGGTGCTAAGCACACGGTGCTTTGCGCCCAGCAACCTGGTTTCCATTCTTGGCATTTGCAAAGCGGAGCAGTGACACTATACCTCGGCCTCTACTACGTTGGCTTGGCTTGAATTGAGTACCTGGTGCATTACGTAAACATCAGCACTGGGGAGACGCAGGAGGCTGGGCACTGCTCACCACAATACTCCCTCGTGTGCCATACCAGCCCTAATAGGGGCCCGCTAACAACATTTATTTTTTGTCCCCAACTTTCTACGGAGGCTATAAGGGCGGCAGGGGTTGGGCAGGGGGGGATCTCTGTCTTTGTACTTCTTTGTCCATTTGTACATGCACATGTGTACATGTGTACACATGTGCATGTGTCTGTGCTTGGGGAGCGGTGGCGCAGTGGTTAGCACGCTGCGCTTCAAACCCCCCGGCAGAGACCCGAGTTGGATTCTCACTCAAAGCCAACATCGGCGACGATTATTTGAACCTGGTCCTGGGTCTCCCCTAGGTCGCATCAGTGTTAAATGAGTACACGGTGCGATGTGTAAACATCAGCATTGGGGAGAAAAAGGTGGCCATCCGTGGTGCTGGCCACCCACCCCATCATGCGCCGTGCCGGCCTTCATAGGTGCTGCTCGCTATAACAGCACTTGCCCCAACAGTCTGTTAAAGGCTCCGCGTGATGGGTGGGGTGGGGATCTCTGTCTCTGCGTGTGTCCGCATGCATGCAGCAGGAGGACCTGTTGGCCCAGCAGGCGTTTGAGGAGGCTCGCAGGCGAGCGCGCGACTTTGAGGACCGGGAGCGGGTGCACCGCGAGGATCTGGAGGTCAGATAGAGCTCTCGGCGACACACGGCGGCGTCGGCGACACACGGCGGCGTCGGCGCCGCCAGGCGTGGCCTCTCGGCCCTCTCTCAGTGCTGCATCCCCCCCACACCCCCCCCCTCGTTGTCAGTGGGGTTCAACTGCTGATGGCAAGTGCAGTTAGCGCCCGTTACGGACTTGTCGAGGGTGCGAGCGTCGACGGAGTGCTTCTGAGTGTAACGTCCGAGGCTGATTCGATGTGGTGGGGAAGTGGTAGATGGATTCGGATTGCCCATTGGGTGTGCGTGGCTAGGAATCTTGAGCCCCTCGTTGCACTGGGGTCCGCGAGAGGTCAGTTTGCCCAATGGACTCGGGCGCATATGGACGCGCGCGCGTGTGAGTTAGTGTGTACGTGATTACACGTGCGTTACACGCAGAACCGTACAAGATGGAATGCACCGTTCATCACGAATTACTGAAATCCGATTGTAAAATAAAATTGTCATCTTCTGTTTCTGACAAAATGGTGCACGTTGTTTCTGTTAGTATTCAATGCTCAATAAATGTCTCTAGTACAACTACAATGGGCATAATCGCGTGTTCCTATGATTGTGTGCTTGTGGGTATATGTTACCGTGCCTGATTTGGCTTGCGCACAATTGCACCTGCGTGTGTGCCTGTGTCAACGTGTGCTACGTAGCAGATCTCTGTGTGCACGCGCTTGTTGTGTGTGTGTGATTGTATGTTCGCGTGCGTGTGTTTGTGTTCCGCGTGTTTCCGTGCGACTGTGTACGTCTCCATCAGTGTGCGTTTTGAGATTGTACGTGTGTGTGCGTGTCCGCATGTGTGGTGTTTTTATTTTATTTTTTTGACCCAGGGGAGGAGACACCCGGACACGAGTCCCAACTCTGGAGGCATGAACAGCGCAGACGAACTCAAGCTCCGCTAAACGAAACCAAGAACCCCGATAAATATCACTGCCTGAATATAAACGGAAAAACTTACAAAAAAGTGTTTTATGGAGTTTGAAAGGAGAGCAAAAAAAGCTAACGAAACTGCGTTGGATTCTTTTAACTTTTTAAACAAGATGCCCTCTATTGCTTCCTTTATATTCCTCTTCTAACAGTCAAAATGTAATTTCGCGAATATAGAGAAACAGCGTTTAAGCAGCTGGCGGCGGGCACCTGGGCTTGTCCCACCAGCCGTCATCGTGTTGAGAAGCCTTCCGTGGGGCAGCTGCTTGACGTTTTGCCCGCTGCGTTCATCACACAGGGACAGGAATAAACTTGTGCACGAGGGGGAGTCATCTGATAGATGCATTGGCTTTTATTTCTTGAGGGGGTGGCGGGTGGGGGAGAAAGGTGCCTAGAATCCATACGAGTGCATTGTTAACTGATAAAGCGCCAAAAAAGATATATATATATATATAGAGAGAGAAAGGCATGTAACATGATGAAAGAAACGAGGACTTAGCGTGCATGGAAAGTTTTTTTTTTCTCCTGGAGATATTTCCGAGATGAGTAGAGTGACCCTGTGGATGAGCAACAAAGGGCAAGCCGTGGCTGTGATGTCGGATGTAATTTTACCCCCCCTCTCTCTTTAGACTGCTCGTGATCAATAACTGGAAGCCTTCGGGAATCTCGGTCCCTAGCATCCCCATGCGCTGCGACGTAAATAACCTCGGCAACCGACCTCGGCGCAGATGTACAGATGCGTTGCAGCGATCTGTTTTTTTTTCTTTAAAAGTTGATACGAATAATTCAGTTTATTCCGTGACGCGGCGTTATAAATCGTCTCTGTATCACGCTTCGGACTGAGCGGCATTTCGCTGTGGATAATCGCAGTCTGTTTACAATTCTTGTTTTTCGGCAGTGCTCGGGATAGGGGGGAATGAGTTTAATCTTGACATCACATTCACGTGGGCAGTTTTCACCCGTTTTTGGAAATTAATGACGCAACAAATGAATTTTAGAGCGATGTATAAATAAAATAATTAGGTGTTTAGCGACGATCTGTATTCCCAGTTTTGCCTTGCTGCAGTTTGGCCAAGACATTAATCTTTACTGACAGTGGGGCCTTACACAAACAAGCATAAGAGAAAGTAGGATTATTGTGATGTTTCCTCAATTGAGTTATTGCAGGTACGACCAATCAAATATTTAAAAATGTATCATACCTGGACCTTTTAAAAGCGAACACGACGGGTAAACATACGCTTCACACGGGAATGTCTGATTATTATTTTGTGGTTATATGAACGTTGTTCTTTATTTCAAACTCTCGGCCTTTTCAGAGCGGGTGTGAATCTTAACTAATCATCTCGTTCCAGGCTTTTGTCCCTGAGGAGAAAACCGTTTCCCCTATTTTTGTAGGGCCCAATTGTGCTTTAAGCGCGAGTAAACGTTTGGGATCAATGTGTATTTATTTTCTTCTAAAAATATTACCGAATATCACACGTTAAGTTAGTCTATCCCCGTATGCTCGGGTGGTGGTGAGGGGTATATATTGTGGGGTGGGATCTATGCTATCATCAATCGGTTTGTAATATTTTTATTAGAACGAGATAGCATCGGTTTGTAAACGTAGTGGATGTAAATTATTCCCTTTTTTATGACTTCACAAACTTTTTTTTTTAAAACGAAGTGAAAATAATTTATCTTTTAAAATCAGTGATTATTGAACATTTCCACTTAATTCTTCACAGCCCAAAATACAACTCATCCAATTTATTGAAACTTAATTGACTCTTCTTTCTCCATGCACGTGGGGGGGGGGGGGTTACAGGAATTAGGTATTTTTTTTGCGTCTGCTAAATTGTGGCGCTGCATTTGTTGATGATCTAACGCAGTTGGGTGAGTTTTACATTATCTCTGTTTGGTTTCCCCGGAAACCCCATTGGCTCCATTTATGGTGAAGTTTGTATTTGCCCCCCCCGCTCCCCCACTATTGACTAATGCACAGCAGATAACAAGTTTAATAACGAGCCTACAGTGCAAAGAGAGGTCATTTGAAGTCTAACTAATCATCTCGTTCCAGTGGGTGGTGTACTCTCTGACATAAACAAAGAAAAAATGCGAAATTAGCTTCGTTGTCAAAAAACAAGCAAATGTTCTTCAACGTTGAGCCTAAATTGTAATTCCTTTTTTGCGGGTTAAAATTAGCAGCCTTTGATCAATTAATTATTCTGAATTATGTAAACCACACAATTACTACAGCTGTGTAGTTCTATATAGATATCATGCAGCAAATTAAACAGCATACACATCCAATCACTTAGTTTAAAAAAAATATTATTTTACGTGTCACTTCAAAGCAAAGTTCAGCTGTCGCTTTATTCGATACGTAACGTAAGTCCTAATTAGTTTATTTTATATTTAGCGAAAGATGCCCCCGAGGAATGGAAACCAATCGTTCATAACCACGAGGAGGGAGGCCTCGTTTCTTATCAGATGCGAACTGTGGACGGGTCTTTGCCTCCAATATTTTTGTTGTTGTTGTTTGGCAATGGGACCTCGAGTTGTATGTTCATCATCACGTTTCACCTTTTTTGAATACCCCTTTTTTTGAATACCCCCAACGTGAATCCAACGTTGTGATGGTTGTCCTTCGTATTACCCTTCCGCATTCGCGTATCTCAGCTGTTACAGAAACTGCCATTGTCTGTTTTGCACTATTACGTTTTGTTTTTTATATATATGTGTGTGTTTATTATTATTGATTTGTACGCTCTTTAGTTTATACGATAGATCATCGCCATGTTTGACCTATGATCAAAGCTTTTTCGTGCTCGTTTTTAAGTAAGTCTCGTAGGCGGACGCTTTGCTGATGTTCTGATTTTGGCCTCGTGTGTGTGTTGTTTTAACCCTTGCAGCGGCAGCAAGCATGGGCACGTGAGATGGAAATTTAACGCCACCACTTATTGCAAATCTTACTCGCGTACGCTTCTTTATGGGTCTCACTGCTGGAAATCAAAAGCACAATTAGTAGATTGTGAAACTGAAATATGTTGGTCATGATATTTGTATTATTTTGTATTGTTCATCTATAGGTATGGGATGTGGCTTGTGCATTCATTGTTGTTAATTTTGCTTAAACTGTTGTACGGAATGCATTTGTGTAGCCTGCATCTTATAGCCACAGCGTTCAGGAAATATCCTTTCAAACAAGTTTTACGGGGAATCAAATGCAGTATTAAAATAAATCCTAAAGTGGAAAATTATACAATCCCTAAAGCTAGATCCGTTAACAGATATACAGGTCCAATACAAAATAGTACATTTCAAGAAACATTGAAGGATGCACGTAAATAGTTATCACTGTACAATATGATCTTTGGAAATTTGTTTTAATTTGCTATTAGAAACAAAATACATCCCACGTGACACGGTAAAGCGTTTAAAACCACTTGAGGATAACAGTGGTTGTGATAGAGTACTATAAAGCCGAAACCATTTGAGAATGAGATAATCGACGTTTGCATTGCCTGGGTATAGGCATCGGAATTAAGCATCCTGCAAATCTAGACATGATGTAGCGGACTTGATTCGCTGCTGGGCACGCGGCTACATTGAAATAAAACGGAGTAGGAGTGCGAGCGAGTCTACGAATGCCACCAGTGTCCAATGAAAATCATATCACTGCCCCTCGTACCCATTAAGGCTTTTACATTTTAAATTGTTTGGCTATTTTCACATCTGTTGCTCTTGCAGCGTAGCCCAACCCCGCCGGTCCTGTTCACAAGATCTTTTCGATGTAAAGCTTTCGTGACTGTAGGGATTCATCTTATTGGTTCTTTCGGTAAAGTCACGTAGAAGGGAAATATTAAATAATAAAATAAAACATAATAAAATAATTCTGAATGAGACGTCTGAATGAGACGCTGTCTCCCCGACAGACCTGTTCTTCACCTGAGGACGGCTGCTTGCGTTGTGGCCGAAACGTCGTGAGAATTATTTTATTATGTTTTATTTTTATAATTTTATAATTTCCCTTCTACGTGACTTTACCGAAAGAACCAAGAAGATCTTCCTTTTCTTTTAGCAGTTGTGCTCTCAACCTCAGACGCTCCATCGGCTGCTCCGTGAGCAAGTGGCGGGTGTCTTTGGGTGAGCGACCGTTTAGTCCGGTCGCAAATTTGGGCGATTGTCTTAAAACCGAACAAGCAGTAGAGAGGAGAGGTGAAGAAGGCTTCTGACGGAGCTTCGTCTTGCCTCCCACCACCGCCTGCCCCCCCCCCCCCTCTCGTCAGCTGCGGGAGAAATCCCTGCGGCGAGATGCGACGCTGGGACTGTCTGTGGCCCTTTGCGAATTACGGTTTTAAATAGGGCTCCCCTCTGCCGTTCCCCTCCGCCGTTCCCCTCCGCTTGTCGCCACGCAGTGTTATTTTGTTGTTGTCCAGTTTTTGCTTGGGTTTAATAAATTTAGATTTAAAGCTTTCGTGACTGCAGGGATTCATCTTCTTGGTTCTTTCGGTAAAGTCACGTAGAAGGAAAATAAAAAAAATTAAAAAAATAACACAATAAAATAATTCTCACGACGTTTCGGCCACAACGCAAGCAGCCATCCTCAGGTGAAGAATCATCAGAATTATTTTATTATGTTTTATTTTATTTATTTTATTATTTTCCTTCTACATGACTTTACCGAAAGAACCAAGAAGATGGGTTTAATAAGTCAAAAGGTTCGTTTGACCGAGTTTTAACGATTTAACTTTTTGTGTGTTAGCACAGTTTCAGTCTCTCCCCCCCCCCCCCGCCCTATTGTTTTTGTATCCCATTCCGGGCTTGACTTTTTCTTTGTTTTGCTTCAGTGGTAACGTAGGCTCTTATTTACATGACTACAAAATGCCGTATGGTATACGCAGCGTTGGGCGAGGGGTCGTGCACCAGTAATTAAACTGAATCTTTCAAATCACATTGCATGATACGAAAAATATTTTCCAAACATTTTTAACTCTCTGTTTGGTTTGCACTAGCAATATTTTCTCCGAGTCTCATGCAATTCGTTTCCTTTATTGTTTGCGCTCTGGTTAACAAGAAGCATTACATTTCCGCGTGGCAGTTCATTGACATATTTTTTTGCGCCAAGAAAATAGTGACCTGCTCCACGGGGTTTGTCGATCTCTCCCTAGGAGGTGGGGGATATCGTGAGAGGTGTGATGTAATAAGGAGGCAAAGTGCTAGTCTTTCCGCCCTCCTTTGCCAAACACATATCGAATCAAATGCAGCTCGCATGTACAATCATCACCTTAACGGGTTTTTTTCATACTTTTTAATTGCAAGTTCTGCTTAGTGGCCACGATTGTGATGCACTGTTGCCGTTCGCAAATGCCGTCAGGAATGTTTATAGGCATAGGAATCTATAAAATAAAAAGAGCATTTTTTTTCTCTTCTGCTAATGGTGTTGGACAATTAAAAGATAATTTAAATTGTGTTGATGGGGGGGAAAAAGTACGAATGTACGAGAGAGTCGTTCTTTCAGAGTTGCCTCGGCCATGTGAAAGCCATATAAAATCTCATTAACCCAAAACACGGACGAGTTTGTTATTTTTTCAAGTGATATCAACTTGTGTAGAACAGCGTGGGTCACATTGCTGGCTTGCACTCGATTGCATGTGTGCTCGTTTGAAAATGTGCTTTTTAGAGATGTTTATTTAATCACATGGTTTGTATTCTTATTTAATTTACTTAACTTTTTAAATTCGAATGTTGGCTCCATTACTAAGGATATTGGAATTACATTTATTTTGAAAAAGATTCATGTCACATCATCTTTAATCCCTTCAGCTCCCTTAACGGAAAAAAAATCTACGCTGACATGATGTATCACTCTGAGCGTGATATAAATATAATTGTTTTAAAACTGGTTATAATGACGATCTGGCTTTCATATCACCGACAGTTTTACATTTAACTATTATTAGCATAACCCGTTCAACAAAGATATCTGATAATGGATGTATCATGTATGGCTCTTTTTACGCTTGGATCCTGCAGGAAAATGTGTGGTGTTGTTAAATGTTACGCGAGTGAGAATGTGAATTCTAATGGTGACATTCAGCAGGTCACATGGGCCATTTTTGCTGGATGAGTGCAGTCTGATGTTCGTTAAGATCGCTCCTTGCAGGGTTTAAAATGAAACCCAGCGGTATTACGTAAAAATCATTCTTTGAAATGTCGGATAAATGTTTGTTTTCATTTCTTTTTTAAATATATGCACTATAAATTAATATTGCATGCTTGGTCAGTTCCAAATATGTTAAAATGTTTGATTATTATGGAAAGAAAAGTGAGCATTAATGAACGTTAATGGGTCTGTTTAATTTTTTTTACATTTTATTTACTTAAATCTGTAAGATAACTTCAAAGTAGAACAAGCACCGTATCTGTTGCCACGTGTTTTCGGTGTGGTGGGAGTCGCGGCCCGAAAGATAAAAATGACACTCTGTGTTGTGCGTGCGCATCCCCAAATGATGAGTACCAAGCAATGCAAACATGCTTACAGTTTTGTTTTTTAACCGGAGCACCTGGAGAAATATTTAAACATTTTTTTTCTCATTCTATGCTTGCAATAAAGTATCTTTTGACAAAAAAGTCTCGAGCTTGACCACTTTCTGCTAGCCAAGTGAATTGCACGCCTTCGCCTAAAAAGTCAAGGAATCTTGAAAGTCGTCGATAATGGGCATGCAATGATTTACCACCTCCCCCACCCACATCAGTTGTGGTGAAATGCCACGATTTGATTTAAGACCAGAGTTGAACCGAACTGTGAACTCACGTTAACCGCACATTTTCCTGAAATTAAACGAAAAAGCGAAACTTCCGTTCCGAATCAACCCCCTCCAATACCCCCCACCCCTCCCCAAGAAAAATAAGGATTTAGTTCACAGTTTTAACCGATTCAAAGGGTTTTTGTGCTTATTAGCCGTGGTGTTAACACTGAAAGTGCACGTAATCTCTGAGCCAGTCGTGCGGGCGGCTCATAATCACAAGGTTGAGATTTCAAATCCGTTTGGGTTCAAAACATGTGTACCACTTTGTTGTAACTCTGACCTTCTCCACAGACCTAATCATACACCAATCGTAACCGCTTCATTCGGTTTTACGGTAAACCCAACCGCTACCCAAAAAAAATCAGTCGGTTGAACTTCCTAGATTAAACGATCAATAATGTTTTTTTTGTCTATATTTTTACGGTCTAATTTGTATCGCTTTTTATTGTTGTTGTCGAGCACAGTAGCCTAAATGGATCAGTGTATAGTCAGCACATATTGTGCATAGTAAATGTATCCATGAACAATTCAGTGCATGAATCATTGAGTTTAATAAGAGATTTGTTTTAATTCAATCAATATGCATCATTATGCACCTCGTAAATATAATCTTCTTTCTGGATGTACTAGGAACACATGCTGTAAAATGTGCAGTTAAACTAGGATACAAATCTGTTTTACCTGTCGGAGAACTGTAGCGAACCCATGATAAGCACACATTTTTTTTGCTCAGGACATGACTGTATAATCAAACGGTTCCATGGGTTTTATTTATTTTGAAATAAAGAACGTGGGCAGCTGCAGGTTGCGATAAACTTTGGCATTAAACAGCAGAACAAATGTTTGCGATATTAAAATAAAAATCACTGGCATTTACCATTTTAACCCGCCCCCACATTATTGCTGTGTGTTTTATCTATTTCCCCTAAGAAAGCACTTTGCCCGCTCAATGCAACTCACTACTCTACGGGACGTCTGGAAAAAAAGATATTACGAATCTGCAGAGTGTACAAAATTCTCTGGCACGTGTCGTGACGGGTACTTCAAGATCCGACCGTGTCCGTCCAGTGCTCGCCGAGCTTCTGAGTTGGTTTCCGGTTGCCGAACGAATTCATTGTAACGTCGCGCTCATTACACACGAAGTTATTGCCACAAATGAACCGCAAATGATTTCCTTCATCTCGTCAAGGAGCATAAACCATCACGCGAACTCCGGTCCTCCTCGCAGAGGCTTTTGGCTGACCACCGAACAAAGACGATGGTCACCGCATCGCGGCGCTTTCAGATGCGCATTTGTGGCCGTCTGGAACGTTCTTCCGATAATAGGAAGCCACTGGAGTTGTGCACTTTGAAATCATCTAGATTTCGAACTGATTTATTTATAACTGCGTTCTGTGTTTAGTGTGTTGTCCTTCCCCCCGCACCTCCGATTAGCACGGTTGGCTACGTACGGTGCGAAAGAGGTTCAACATACATACAACACCGCACAGATGGTAGTCGCAGGGCATTATGTGCTGATTGCATATATTATATTTGCTTCACGCTGTGTCTCGGGGGAGAACCAATTTATTTGAAATGAAACGGTGTTTGGGATTTGGTATCATGTTTGAATGTCTCTGCGCTCTTTTACTGGTAGGAATCCACTGTTAATTTTAGAACTTTCGTGACTGCAGGAATTATTATTTGGTTCTTTCGGTTAAGTCACGTCTAAAGATAAAATAATAAATTAAATAATAGAATATTACGACGTTTCGATTGCAACATAAGCAATCATCATCAGGTATAATGAAATAGCGACATAAAATCTAACCAGAAAACTATAGACAGACATATTAGTAGACAGATATCACCAAGATACATAGAGAGAGCAACACAGGTAACATAGAGGGGTGATCGTCTCTGTGGTGTGGCCCTAAATAGACAGAGGGGGGCAGAGGCAGAGAGAGGGAGGGGGTTAGAGAAAAAAATAGCATATCAATGAGTGGACAACAAACGTGATGCTGCAAGTGCGATGGCACGGCAAGCAAGCCTGAAAATCAGGAGGACACACTAAAATTAAATAACCTAGTAAAATATCGAAATGTAATGTAATACAACACAGAGGGTCGGTCAACACACAATTAACGCATAGCCTGGTTGATTACGTATTTCAAAGATTGCTAAGTTAGAATTTAAGTGTGAACATTCCAAAGAGAGGACACAGGCAGAGAGAACAAGTAGCCAGAGAGAGAGAAAAAAGATAAGCTTAAAACTTCCCCGTAGAAGTGGTTCAATCTTAATTTTAGAACTTTCGTGACTGCAGGAATTATTATTTGGTTCTTTCGATTAAGACACGTCTAAAGATAAAATAATACATTAAATAATAGCATATTACGACGTTTGCAGTCACGAAAGTTCTCACGCCGGCTTGTGCCCGCCCGCACAGTCGGCCATATTTGCGGAATACACCACGCCGCCGTTGACCCTGGCCATTGACCGATCAACCCAACGTTCCTACCAGCTCCCTCCGCAAGGAATGTGTTTAAACTCTGGCCGTCAGGTTGTGATGTTTGAGTGGCAGGAAACGAAAGAGAGAGATGTTCATTCTTGTCAAGAGTTCCCTTTGGGGCACGTATTGCTCACGTGGATCCCCACGTGCTGGATTTGGCACCAGGCCCGGCCAGCCGTTATTTTGTTGGAAGCCCTCGCCTTCCTGGGAATTCACATCT